CTTCAGGACAACGGAACCTCTCGTTACCGATGGTGATGACCTGACCATCAGGTAATTCGTAGCTTTTCTCGAGGGAGGTGCTAGCGGCAGCGGTGGCCATTTCTTGTTCGAAGTCCAGAGCGACATAGCAGAGCTTTTCTTTGATGTCGCGAACGATTTCTCTCTCGGCCGTGGTAGTGAAGCTATAACCTCTCTCGGTAAGAATCTTCATGAGGTAGTCAGTAAGATCGCGACCAGCCAAGTCCAGACGAAGGATAGCATGGGGAAGGGCGTAGCCTTCGTAGATGGGTACGGTGTGAGAGACACCGTCACCGGAGTCTAGGACGATACCGGTGGTACGACCGGAGGCGTATAGGGAAAGGACGGCCTGAATGGCGACGTACATGGCTGGGCTATTGAAGGTTTCAAACATGATTTGCGTCATCTTCTCGCGATTAGCTTTTGGATTTAAGGGTGCTTCGGTGAGAAGGACAGGGTGTTCCTCCGGTGCAACACGCAATTCATTGTAGAAGGTGTGATGCCAAATCTTCTCCATGTCGTCCCAATTAGTAATAATGCCATGTTCTATAGGATACTTTAATGTCAATATACCTCTCTTACTTTGCGCCTCATCGCCAACATAGCTGTCCTTTTGACCCATACCGACCATCACACCCTGTAAACAAATGGAGAATAATCTAGCTAAAAATGTTTCTTAGTTTTAGTCGAAGTATACGTTAAAAAATATCATATATATATATATACTATATTATTTTTTTAAAATTGTAACATAAAAATGCTAGGATAATATACGAGATATATATAATGATATAAAAGGTAATATAAGTTGATATAATGTTACTATATTGATCATAATATTTAAATTAAATAAATCGACGACTGGCTTCTCTAAATGAGAATCCAATGTTTTGACCAACCTGATGACGAGGGCGGCCGACGATGCTAGGAAATACAGCGCGCGGTGCATCATCCCCTGCGAATCCAGCCTTGCACATACCGGAACCATTGTCCACGACTAGTGCCGCAACATCATCGTCACACATCTTGGTTGGCCGTTACTTTCTGTTACTTTCTGCGAATACACACCGCAAAATGCAGAAGAATATTGCAAGATAAGTCGCTATTGTTAAGATAATAAAATGTAATTAAATTCGCGATCAATATATTAACTCATGGAATTAATGATTACAATTTGTATATGTTAATAGTTGAACTATAAATAGAAAAGTTATATAATCATTCTACATTACTTTGGAAATATTCAGAATAAATTTGGAAATTTGTTCTGTTTATATTTTTTAATGAATGAAAAAAATATCAGAATCAATTTTGGTTATAAAGCTCAGGATGGTAGAAAGCTGTTAATAGATTCTTTTAGCTTTATAACTATTATTGAGTTCATCCACATCCACTTATTCACAGTCACTAGATATCACTTTACGTCATATACGATTACGCAAACCTCACTCAATTCTCACAATTCTCCTTGAGAATTTTCGAAAATTATCAATCTGATCGGTCCTGGAGATGCTTCCCATCAATTATCCTGACACTTAAAAGCTCACTGAGCTAAAACTCTAACTCAGCTTTAACTCAGTACCATTTATTCGAATCACTACAGATCCTGTAAACTGATACTAAAGATCTTCGCGATTTTAACGAAATTTAGAAGACAGTGTCAGAAATCGAGATTTTCGATGCGCGTGCACCAAGTAGATCAATGTGAACCAAACAGATTCGCGATCGTTTATAGGAATAATGAGATATCATGTCGCGTATAACGTCGTGCAAGAGGCTGGCGAGAGCGGCAAGTGGCGTGGTACCGGCTCCGTGGGGTCCCTTTATCCATATCGGTCAGCGGCCGAAAATAGCAATCCGCCCCTTACATGGAAATCGGCTGTTCGCGTTAATGTCGGGCTGAGAGCCCGCGCCACCCATTCTAGTCAAGCTAATCCTTAGTTCGCCCTAAAGAGAGGAGCAACGGTGGAAAGAGAGAGGAGTGAGAAAAAGAGAGAAGACGCCGAAGCATCTTGCTACGGCGGTGGTGACGACGTCGACGCGGTGGTGACCGACGGTCTCTGGATCCAAATAAGGACTCGTTACGCGACAGGGCCGTCCATTGTTATCGTGGGCCTCGGTGAAGAAATGAGGCTTTAAGGGAAAAACAAAGAATAAAATTTGGAAGGGTCGAAAGTAAACGAGATTCAACGAATAGAATTTTAAAAGATAGGATGTGATAAAGCTTAATTAAAAGAACGATTATAGAGAGACACTAATGGAGATTCAAGCAAAACATAAAAAAAATTTGTGTTTAAAAAAAGCGAACTTTAAAAGACTCTACTGAGGATTAAGTCTTAAAAAGTACAAATTAAAAATATTTAATCTTGAAAGAATAAACTTCGAATTATTGAACTTTTAAACACGAAAGAAAGCTTTTTGAAATATTTGGATTTCGGAAAAGTAAACTTTGCAGGATAATTAGTTTGCTATGATGAGTTTAGAATCCTGAAGCGACACCTTGTCCTGTATTTTTCAAACAAAATTGTGATTTTACGATGCAAAAGACGAATCTTTTTCTTTAAAATGGAGTAACAGATTTAATTAGTGACGTATTAATTACCTGAAAGATAAATACTTTCGCCTTTAGTTGTCATTCTTTCATATAACAGAGATTATTTATTAAATGATCAAGATTGCGTTGCCAAGAATAATAACTCACTAATTCTTGGCACGTGTTATTAATATTGGCAGCGCTCCCAGAATCTGTTGATATAATATGATACTCAAATATATAAGCAGAAAAGAATATCAGTGCAGCTAACGGACAAAACGGCAAATTTGTTATAATTGGCAGGTGCACGGGGCAACTCGCTTGCTTGAGCCATCGTAAAGATCCCCTCTTCTACCTTTCATCGTCGGCTAAGCCGATGCTGATGTTGATTCGCATTGCCGAGTTTCAACCCCGTAAGGGCGCACCTTTTATTGTTGAATACTTCTTACTCGACATCGTTACGTTCATCATCAAGACTTCAGCACGAATACGAAAAAGGCTGATCTTTACCAGGAAAAACACTAAAGGTGAATGTTATTCTGTTTTTTTATTTCGAAAGAAGAAAAATTAGAAAATAAAATCTCTTGGGAGGATTTAATTAGCTAGAAAGATTATGATCGCATCTATTGGAAAAATTTTAAATCCTTTCACTTTTATCAGTAAAATTTGACTAGATATACGTCATTAATTTGTTGAGATTTAAAAACGGAAGAATTCATGACTACTGTAATTATAGAATCTGGTAGCAATTGAAGCGCTCGCAAGAATTATTTTTTATTCCTCGTATGAGAATATGTAATACAATTGACCTATTTAACACATCAATGCAATTACCTTTCTCTAGTATTTCTCTTGTATTTCTAGCGATGTTATACAATAAAATATTATATTGTTTCTGTTGAAGAAATGTGTGATATCACAAAATTATACCTTGAATTTTAAGCGTTTGGAATGCAGCCAGATGTTTAAAACATCTTGGATCATATTTTATGTAATCTTGATTATGTTTTACATTTCGTGTAATATTGTCGTACTGTATGTAATACGGGTAACGCACGTTTATTTCTGTGTCTATACATCTTACTACAGAATTAAAAATGATCTGAGAGATAAAGGAGGGTACAACTTTCACTTTTACACGATCAATTTTGGGGATTGTTTTATTTCTACATTACCTTATTTATTTTTCTTCATAGATACTAAAAATTATCATAATAATGACGCTACACTTAAGAAATATTGATATACATTGGTTAATAAAATTTTTATTCATATTGTTACGAAATCGTTGTCATTTATGATTAAATCGTTTAAAAATTATTTAGAGTTATTGATTCAACTCTCGGAATTATATATATAGTTTTTAAACAATCGAAGCATAACTGATGATTCCTTACGATGTGAATAAGGATTTTATTAACTTTTTTTTAGTGTTTTTTTTTAGTTAATTTTTCCTAAACTGTAACGTCATTATTATAATTTTCGGTTTTCATTAAAGAAGAATGCAAAAGAAAATATAGAAATAAAACGATCCCCGAATGGGTCACGAAAAAAGTTATATCCTCCTTTGGAGAAACTTATAGTTGCATTATAATTGTGATTTTAGTTTTAAATCAAATTTCTAATATATTAATAAAAAGTAATGTTTATTATTGTACTACTTTGGTGAGAGAACCGACGAGAAAACAAGTTCTGAGGTATATGGCACACGTCTTTATTTCGAGCCGCTGAAAATACGAATATAAAAACGGAAGCATCATCTTTGCTCTACTAAATTCATATCTGCAAGGGCGCTAGTGCTACTTTTTCTTTAGTTTATCTACAGAACAAACAATAATTATAATAAATACTTTTTATTTTGATCATGCAATATATACAACAACATGCACTCATGCACTACATGCATATTTTATATCATTATTATGCACAAATTTCAAATACTATCAAATACTATTAAATTAATTTCATATTTATCGTTAGTATAATTTTATCTCGTTATACAATAACATTGTAAAACTTTAATAAGCAGATTTTTATGGAAGGCAATGTTTTTAGTATCTTTGTTTCTTATAACTTTTAGTATCTTTGTTTCTTTCGTGGAATCCCAGCTATCAATTATGATTTACAAGGCATCTAAGTGTGTACTTCTAAGTTTATAATAATTTTATAACTTTTTACACCTCAATTTTATAACTTTTATCGATAGTTAATATAAATTTAAAAAAAGATTCATTTAAATCAAGAGAGTAATAGATCATTTTTGTTATTAAATTGATTAAATGATTAATTTATTTAAGTCATAAGCCACAAAGCTGGTTTATATAAATAAAAAAAAAGTATGTCCCTTTTCACACACACGCGCGCAGGCGTGTAAACTATTAATCCAATTAAGTATTAATATTGATCAGTATTTATGTAAATAAGGGTATTGAAAAATGAAAATTACGAATTGCACGAATGTAAGAGAGAATATAAGATTGATTTATTCCATAGACGTAAACTTATATACAAAAGATGACGTATATGCTCGTATAATAGTTGTTGATAAAAGACTTGCCGCCACGGACCAATAATTACGACAATAGAATATTCGACTAACGGAGATCCAACTAGACGAAGCGATGCGGCAGTGTACGGTACAATTTAGGAAAAGGTGTAGCAATAATAACAATAATAATAGTGAATAGCATCGAGCGTAATTGTTTAGAAGCACTTGCGGTGGACGATGCCAGGGCCAGATTCATCGTACTCCTGTTTGGAAATCCACATCTGCTGGAAGGTGGATAGAGAAGCCAAAATGGAACCACCGATCCATACGGAGTACTTCCTCTCAGGAGGAGCGATGATCTTGATCTTGATGGTCGAGGGGGCGAGGGCGGTGATTTCCTTCTGCATACGATCGGCGATACCGGGATACATAGTAGTACCACCGGAGAGGACATTATTGGCGTAGAGATCCTTACGGATATCGACGTCGCACTTCATGATGGAATTATAGACGGTCTCGTGAATACCGCAAGATTCCATACCCAGGAAGGAAGGTTGGAAGAGAGCCTCTGGTGTGCGGAACCTCTCGTT